TGCGGTGGATTTGTGGCCGTGGGTACATTTTAGCCTGGGATTTTTGACTTCGTTCGGCAGGCTGTCCCGAGTAAGGTGTTTCGCCTTGTCCTCTCTTTATTAAGGGAAAACCGGAATTCAAAAAAGTCGCTTAAATCATGTTCAATCGGTAAAATAACACTTGTAAGCAACTTACCGCAAGAAGAAAAGATAAACATGTTATTGTCCGGCTTAGGGTCGGTCCGTGTAGTGAAAAACTGTGACCTCGGGCTTGAAAATGCTGCCCTCGGCCTGCGGCCAAGGGCAGCATTTTCAAGACCTCGGTCACAGTTTTTCCCTATACAGACCTCCCAGCCGGCCAATAACATATATTTATTTCTTTCCCGCACGACAAAAGCCCAGAAAATTGAAAACGCAAAAATGAGTTAATTATTTACCTCAGAGGACAAAACGGAACAGAATACAACAGAATTTCCCTCCTTTTACTGTAACAGATAACATTTGAGAAAACACCGGAAAATAAAGGCAAAAGACACATGTAAAGATCTATTTAAAAAGAAGAAATCACATAATTTTTTCACTGCGTGACGAAATAATCCACAGCGCAGCGAACGAAAGATGAAAGTTGTACATCAAAATGACAACAAAAACAAGTCAACTATTTTTAGATAAATCGTATATCAGCTGTGTTAAATAAGTGCCCTCTTAGTTCTTTTCTCAGGAGTTCTGTAGTAGCTGAATAAGACTGAAAAAAATATATATTTGAACGAAGCGAATAAACTAAGCAAACAAATCACGGGGTTGCCGTAAATTAAATATGCAGAATCCAGCGTCCAAAAACACTGTTCACTTTTAAAACCTAAAATTCCTAAACAAAGGCGACCAAGTGACAGAAACGTGACAGGAAGTTCAATAACAATAAATTTTCATTCAAGATGAGGCAAAAAAAAAAACTCTTATCTAACAGCATAAAAATGTTCAAAGTTTCACGGACTTGCTTCGCTGTATGACGGCATGTTCAAATTAATTCTTCACGCTAAAGCGAAAGCTTAAGTTTTTGCCGCCGACTTTTGCAGTCATTTTATCGGCCGTGGCTTTACCAATCGTTCTAAAAGTTGATTTCAACTTTTCTTGCTAGATGTAACAGGTAATAATGGTACATTTTCTTGCTCGAGTAGTACATTAGCTGGCGTTTTTTGCCTTTCAAAGAGTACGTGACATCTAGATCCGCCTTCTTTCCAGTCACGGGCTGCCCCCGATCACGTAGAATGTTCTTTAGCTCTTCCACTTTAAGCGCTTCCAATGATTTGTTTACGGGCGCGTTAGGAATTTCCATGGAAAATCACGTATAAGCTTACAAATCACGTTTACTTGTCAGTTGTGTTGCTGATCAAAGAGAAGCAAACGGGGTTAGCCTCGTCTCGGTGCAAACGTTGCGCCTGCTACACGAAAATCCAGCGGTTTCTTAGAGTAAGTGGAGAATTCGAAACTGGACTATCAACTAATAGCGTGTTTGGCTTCCCAGATGTAGGCTTATCAGAGACAATCTCATCCGCATGGGCATTAGTCTCAAAAACAAATGAGTGTTCAATGTCCTGGTTTGTTTCTCAGATACTTGATTAACCTTGTCACCTTTCTTTCTTTTATGACGACATGCTTGATCACTGTGCGACCTTGAGCGACATATATTGCACCACTTCCCTCCTTTGGGGTTGTTGGGACAGAAATGAGCTATATGACCTTGTTGGGTGTAGTTGAAGCAGGTAAGATTTCCTTTTCCTCCCACCGGTGGTTTTGGCCGTTGGAAATTGTCTTCTGCTTTCAAAATGGAGTCGTTATTATCTGCTGTTCTTGTTTTCTCAGTGTCCTCAAAGCTTCTTAGAGAGGCTTTGAATTCCGGCGCTAAATGTTTGTTGCTTCTCGCTCTATGTGACAGCCACAACAAACGGTTTGCAACTTTGAGGTGATTCTTTGAGTACCATTGCTATAAGGAGACTGTCAGTTACAGTTTCTCCCGCATTTTTCAAAGCTGTTGCCGTCGTCTCCGCTCTGATTACATAGTCAGTGACAGACTCATTCGCCGATTTAACTAAGGATGTTTGTTCGGTGTAAAGCGAAATCACACTTGGTTTCCCAGTCCCAGCGTAATGGGCTCGTAGAATCTGCAGCGCTTTCCTTCCATCATCATGATTAGTTGAATCTCTTATTACCAACGCTAGGCAAGGAACTGGATTAGTTCGGCAAACGCCTCCTCGTTTTTGCTAGCATTAGCTTCCTCATCCCAGCTCTCGGACACGAGAACGTCTTTCAACTTTTGCAATCTCATGNTACCAACGCTAGGCAAGGAACTGGATTAGTTCGGCAAACGCCTCCTCGTTTTTGCTAGCATTAGCTCCCTCATCCCAGCTCTCGGACACCAGAACGTCTTTCAACTTTTGCAATCTCATGTAGCCAAAGAATTTGACCTCCCATTGCTCGTATTTTCGCTCATCCCCATCAAAAATTAATCTTCCAAATCCTTCAGGAACATCTCGTCTGGGCCCATAACCTGTTGAATTCTTCTGTCATGATGGAGTGGGATTTTAAAGATTTAAAGATTACACTCAGAACACATGAGTCAGTTACGTTAGACCCGAAGGAACAAGATCCGGGAATTTTTATTACTATCACATATGTACTACATGTATGATCGTGAGGTCACATTCTCTAACACAATAGGGTAGAAATCGCGTGCATTAGCAATATATATTTACGATATACCTTCGATAGGTCCGCCGTGAAAATTGATCGACGAATATTGTTCCCTTGCGCCCATGTTACAGCTTGTGATTTCCTCGGCTTCGTTGAATCTTTTTTTCTGAAACTTTCCACAAGAATCTTCCCGGGCCAAGCAACTACCGCGATCGATGAGGAACACCACTTTGTGTAAGAAGGTGACAGAGTCTCCCGGCTGGACCTCCTCGTTGATTGGCCAGAAAAATATTTTTCTGGCCAATCAGCGGGATGAAATTCGAACAATTCTAGAACTGGTTTGGAAAGAATAGTGCCCGGGGGCTTGTCCGCTCTTGAAGTAAACTTTCGCCCGAAAATGTCGGTCGCCTAAAAATATCGTACAATCCTGACTAGCAGCCCCTGGGTCTGAAATAAACACCACAAACTTTGTAGTCATTCCCCGGAGCCTCGTGTTGAGGTCTATAGTTTAAGGTTGAATTTTGATATATGGAAATTGGTCTGTTGAAAACTGATAATGTAGATAAATGTCAATGTCTATTGTCATCTTGTTATTAATTATGTCGACTAATGTTTCTTTTGTAGCCGGAGACGTACCAGGAACTGTTTCAGTGGAAATTAAGACAAAGAATGGTCATTATCTGGGAAAAACGCAATTCACTTATGTGAATCAATATGAAGAAACAATGAAGCAGATAGTCCAGTCCAGAATCTTGCAAGGACAATTATTTAAGATGCTAAGCAAACAATGCGAAAACGATGAAAGTGAAGAAAATAGCACACAAACTTTCGGTGAGTTCAAACATTTTCAGGGGTGGTGAATGGTCCTTCAAAAACCATGGGTCTTGCAGTCTCGGTTTTTTTTAGCGGTTAAATGTCTCTCCTAGTCTCGATTTTTTTCCCAAAACTATCTCGCAGTCTCAATTTTTTTGCAGGGCTTAGAAAATCTCGAAGCACCGATATATTTTTATATAAGCTTAAATGACGTCTTAAGGGCCCATTAACCGATTCATGCGCGCGCTCACGCACGTTGCTAAGGAGGTGAAATTTCACTTCCGGTTACTTACGTCAGCCTGAGCGCGGATAATAAAAACAACTCAAAACCTTGCAAATTCGCTTACATTTTAAATGTTTTTCTTTGTGTTTCACAAAATGCAAAGTAAAAAAAGTACAAGCAAAGACAAAATAAGAGAAAGACAGAAAAACA